TCCCCAGAGGTCTCTTCCATCCTCGATGATGTCACTGCCTCCCTAAGAGTCCCCCAGGATCACATCCCTCTTTTCAGTTTCTTCCTCCTCCTTCACCATCTCCACTCAGGTCACCATGTCACCTGGCTCTTTGGCCTGCAGAGGCTCTTGGTCTCTGCAACCAATGACAGACGGGGGACGGGCCTATCTTTGACAACAGGACTGTGTTCCCCTCTTCCTTCCTGTCTGGTAGGCACCCTGCTTCCGTTCTTCTCTCTGCCCTGGAAATGGAAGCACCACTCATCGACCCACAGCTTCTGCAGATCCATTGACATCTACACAGTCTCTCTTGGTAGCAGCCCTCATTGTCCTGGCACCTTTACCAGCCCTGATTCCCAGCGCGCCAACTTGTTCTGTTGTTTTGGGTGAGACATGGCGGCTCCCTGACGTATCACAGCTAGGTCACTTCCTATTCGCGCGTGGTGTCCGGGAGTGTGCTCACACTTGCTTCACTCTTTAGACTTTGCCCCAGCGTAAGCACCTGCCTAAATTTTCTCTAATACGGGGCGTGCCACGTAGCAGCCAGTCTCCAATCTTTGTAGCAGCAGTAGTAACCCTGCTCTGTGTGGACTGGGCAGTCTGAACTGTGATGCAAAGCTGTCGCTGTGAAGGTAGTCTTCTATGCTAGCAGATTTGCTGAGCACACAGCTGGCTGGCTTGTGAGCCCAGTCAGAGCAAGGGGAAGGAGGAGAGGGAAACCGAAGCCTGGGATGATTCAGCATTCCCAAAGAGTAAAGGGCCTCAGGCTCTGGGCAAGTCCAGGCCTCCGGTCACTTGGCTTTGAGATTCATCTGTAGTTCTTAGCACTCACTTTGAGGAGCTAGTCATATATTCTAATAATTTCTCCTTTGTTTTTAAAGCTAGTTTAGGTGAGTTTCAAATAAAAGATGCTTGACTGTAAAATTACTCCCCTCAGGCTGTTTTGCTCAGGGTTTCTTTAGTAAGAATCTTTTCCCTTAAAATCCAGGACCAAGTCTGGCACAGCACCTGGGTACTTACCCTCCTTATTCAGATCTCTACTGTATACTGTTACCCAGCATAGCTAATGGAGCTGATTTATTGATTTAGTGCTCTTGAACAAGTTCCTTCTTTTTAGGCTACTCCCTCTTAAGAAGCTAATTGTGACTTTACTGAGTTTTTGGCTTCAGGTAATATTTTTCTTCCATTGTATCAAAGCTCTTTAGACACACTGAGTCAGTATTGCACTCTGACATAAAGCTTCAGCGTTTCAATTGCAAGGCAGTTGGGTACCTCCTTTCCCTTCTGACCGTGTGTGGGGGGGGTAGGTGAAGAAATGAAGTCATAGGTTTACACTCTTCCTGTCCTCCCCTCAGGGTCACTTCAGGGTGGCTACATCCTTTGGCTAACGGTCACATTTATCTGAAAGAGGCCTCTGTGTAATTTTCTGTCCTTCTGGATCTGGTTCTGTTTCCTCATCCCCTCAGCCCCCAGTTTATTGACAACTCTGTTGTTGTGGGTCAGGGTTTTCCCGTATGCCAGTAGTCCTCCACTCTCTAGCCGTGAGATTAGAAATGATCTCTTGAAAACAAACATCCCTTGAGTTGTCACGTTTAATGGGACATTCTGTCCTGTTGGGGTCTTGACTCCTATAGGACATAATATTAACAGTAGCTGCCCCACATCTCCTCTTTATATTAAAACTTAGTAAAGGCTAGTTGTTATTAATGTTATCTCCCATCACCTCTCCTCCATCTTGTTCTTTCACTGAAGAGTAACTGGGCATCATTGTCTTTCTTCCTTTTCATTTTCCCAGTTTAGGACAATCTCATGTGGCCTTCTCTGGACCTTCATCTCTATTGACAGAGGATGACTTTGAACCCCTGATGTCCCTGTCTCCACCTCCCATGTACTGGGGTTATGGGTGTGTGATGCCATGTCCTCTAAGGTATCTTTCATACACTCCTGCATTTTCTTACTTCCGTGCCTTGCAGATGCTGCTTTGACCACTGGGTTGTCACTCTCCCTCTTTCTTCTGCTAAATATCTTCTTACTGATCCTTCTTCTCTGGTCACACCGCATCTTCTTGAGTCTCAGTGGTCCTCCCAGCCTTCCTGGTTTTGTCTCCGTTGGGTTTCTTCTGAGACTGTGTGTGTCTATGGGCATCGTTTCTTCCACCATACTGTTCGTTCTTCAAAGGCAGAGATTCAATTCTGTTTATTTTTCTTCCTTCTCAATATTCTGTCTTTAATCAAAGGACATTAAGTACAGGACTCTTCTAATCCATTCTCCTTTCTTAGCTGGGATGATGTTCAGAACATAACAGAGGTCATGGCATCCATTCCCTTACATTCTTCAGTGACTACTCTGTGCTTAGAATTTAATCCACTGAAGTCAGGTATCTGTTCAGACCTGCTCTGAACCACTTGGCTTCTTGGCATACATTGAGCACTTTCTGCTTCAGGGCTCCAGACTACCCTTCCCTCTACCTTGAGTGATCCTCCTCCAGAGGCCCCGTACTTCTGCTGCCTGGTTCTCGGCATCTATGCTACTCTCCCGGCCGGGGTGACTAGAGTTAGGTCTCCTTCCATTTCTCTGCTCCACCCTCCCTCTTAGCAGGTCCCTACTGGCCCCAACTTCATATGTAGGCCAAGCTGGGCTCAAATTTGCGGAATCCTTCTGCCTCAGCCTCTGTGATGCTGGGATGACAGGCGTTTGTCACCACAACACCTCTTCCATACATTTTTTACATAGCCTTTCCATGTGCTTATCTTGTGTTTCTAAGATGTTTAGCACATACCAAAGAATATGAAATCTGTCTTAAATTATACAAATTGGTCGGTTTTAGGGTATTACAGAGCTGCATGGCCCCTGTAAGGATCTGATTTTAGAACATATTTCTCAGCCAGAAAGTACTGCATATCAGTGGTAGTGAGTTTCATGTTTTCCTGGCTACACATGTAAGTTTCTTTCTGCCTCTATAGAGTTGTCTGTTCTGTATTTGTGGTGACAGAGAACTGTGCAGCCTGTGGTCTTATGGGATGGGTTTCCTCCACTTGGGACACTGTTCTGTGGGGTCATTCACACTGGTATGGATCAGCACAAACTCCTTCCCAGGTCATGTGCAGGTCCCCTTGCATAGGTACACCACACCTCATGTTACTTTTCTTAGCAGGCCATCTTTGTTTTTATGTTTTGTCTTACAGCCCTCTTACAGTGAGAGAGCAGAGGCTTTGAACTCATTTGTATCATTCTCGTATTAAACCCGCATGGGTTTCTGAGATGTGGTGGGTCCCTGGGCTACCATGGAATGTGCTGAAGGTAGGACTTGTCACAGCAAGAGAAGCGGCCTTTTCTTCTTCCCAGAGCTGGGCCCAGCCCATGACAGAGCAGACCATTCCATCATGGCAGGGCTCTGTGCCAGGAAAGACAGTGGGTGGCATGAGAAGCACTCTGCAGTGGGCAGTGTGCCGCATCCAGTGTCTGCAGTGGGCAGTGTGCCCCATCCAGTGTCTGCAGTGGGCAGTGTGCCCCATCCAGTGTCTGCAGTGGGCAGTGTGCCCCATCCAGTGTCCGCAGTGGGCAGTGTGCCCCCTCCCATCCAGTGTCCACAGTGGGCAGTGTGCCCCCATCCAGTGTCCGCAGTGGGCAGTGTGCCCCATCCAGTGTCCACAGTGGGCAGTGCCCTCCTACCCAGTGTCCACAGTGGGCAGTGTGCCCCATCCAGTGTCTGCAAAGGACAGTGTGCCCCCCATCCAGTGTCTGCAGTGGGCAGTGTGCCCCATCCAGTGTCTGCAGTGGGCAGTGTGCTCCCATCCAGTGTCTGTAGTGGGCAGTGCCCCCCATCAAGTGTCCGCAGTGGGCAGTGTGCCCCATCCAGTGTCTGCAGTGGGCAGTGCCGCCACCCAGTGTCTGCAGTGGGCAGTGTGCCCCATCCAGTGTCTGCAGTGGGCAGTGTGCCCCCTATCCAGGGTCCGCAGTGGGCAGTGTGCCCCCTATCCAGTGTCCGCAGTGGGCAGTGTGCCCCATCCAGTGTCTGCAGTGGGCAGTGTGCTCCCATCCAGTGTCTGTAGTGGGCAGTGCCCCCATCAAGTGTCCGCAGTGGGCAGTGTGCCCCATCCAGTGTCTGCAGTGGGCAGTGCCACCATCCAGTGTCTGCAGTGGGCAGTGTGCCCCATCCAGTGTCTGCAGTGGGCAGTGTGCTCCCATCCAGTGTCTGTAGTGGGCAGTGCCCCCATCAAGTGTCCGCAGTGGGCAGTGTGCCCCATCCAGTGTCTGCAGTGGGCAGTGCCGCCACCCAGTGTCTGCAGTGGGCAGTGTGCCCCATCCAGTGTCTGCAGTGGGCAGTGTGCCCCCTATCCAGTGTCCGCAGTGGGCAGTGTGCCCCATCCAGTGTCTGCAGTGGGCAGTGTGCTCCCATCCAGTGTCTGTAGTGGGCAGTGCCCCCATCAAGTGTCCGCAGTGGGCAGTGTGCCCCATCCAGTGTCTGCAGTGGGCAGTGCCACCATCCAGTGTCTGCAGTGGGCAGTGTGCCCCATCCAGTGTCCACAGTGGGCAGTGCCCTCCCACCCAGTGTCCACAGTGGGCAGTGTGCCCCATCCAGTGTCTGCAAAGGACAGTGTGCCCCCCATCCAGTGTCCGCAGTGGGCAGTGTGCCCCATCCAGTGTCCACAGTGGGCAGTGCCCTCCCACCCAGTGTCCACAGTGGGCAGTGTGCCCCATCCAGTGTCTGCAAAGGACAGTGTGCCCCCCATCCAGTGTCTGCAGTGCGCAGTGTGCTCCCATCCAGTGTCTGTAGTGGGCAGTGCCCCCCATCAAGTGTCCGCAGTGGGCAGTGTGCCCCATCCAGTGTCTGCAGTGGGCAGTCCTGCCATCCAGTGTCTGCAGGGGGCAGTGTGCCCCATCCAGTGTCTGCAGTGGGCAGTGCCCCCCATCCAGTGTCCGCAGTGGGCAGTGTGCCCCATCCAGTGTCATCAGACTATCCCCCTTCTTTCTTCCCACAGGCTCATGCTCAGACCCCAGGGACTTGGAGGCCCCAGCTCTTCCCTCTGTCTAGGTCTCTGAGCTTCCCCAGGATCATCTCAGGTAAGTGAGACAATAAACTGCCTTGTTGCTTTTACCGGCTTGCCTGGCTTCCTGGAACTTGACAGAGAGTCTTCTAACGAGTATACTAACCTAACTGGTTTGGACACAGTCGCAGGTAAGATTTGTTCAGGGCTCCTTTGACGAGAAGGGAGTCTCACATTCAACATTTCCTTCTGTCTTCTTCCCAGAGGAAAATGCCACAGACCTAATTTTAAACTCAGGGAAAGCAAAGATCAGAGACATCGAACAATATTCTTGAGGTCACCACTTGAAAATGGCACATCTGGGCCTGGAAACCGGGGTCTCTGGCTGCTAGTGCTGAGCTCTTAGCCTGTTTCCTGACCCCCAGACTCATAGTGCCTGATGTGTCTGCTGACCTGTGGCCTCCATGTAGCTGGGTTAGCAGCTGAAACAGGAAGACCCTCCTCCCATGCTGGAGCCTCTGGTGGCCCGAGACACTGAAGAAGAGTGAGGGGAAGCCAGGCAGGTGCTCAGCACGAAGAGAGCCCGACTTCAGAGAGCAGTGAAGGCCTTGCCCTCATGCCCAGGCTCCTACTGCTTTCATCCAGCTCATGTCTGAGCATCTTTCTATGATATTTGGTCCAAATGGAGGAAGTCAGCACAACTCACCTGGGACTTTCCCTGTGTTCTGGATGATGCCCAGGTTTCCTGGAGCCGCCTGTTGGTACCAGAACACAAGAGAGACAGAGAAGAGTCTGATGCCCCATCCCATTCACTCCATCTCGCCAACGTGATCTGTCCTTCAGTCTGATCACTGCCCGTCACTGTCCAGTGCCATAGACTTGTCACAATTTTTCTTCCTTTTGTCTCTCTGGCACAAGCCTTTACCCATCCTTCACAACCCAACTCCTCTGAGATGTTCCCTAAGGAGTCCCCTCTCCTGGGCTCACGTCAACTGTGCTTGGAACATCTCCATTCCATACTGCCCTTTCCTTCCCTGCATTTGTTAGCTCCCTGTTTCTGCACCGGGCTACAGGTCCCCAGCAGCCTGACTTTGTCCAGTGGAACTCTGTTTCCCAGCCTGTTGGCTCAGCACGGACAGTGGGAGAACAGCTTGCACATCTGAGCACATTCAAAAGAGATTCCTGACGTTTTTCTTGACAAAGTCCTCGAACTTTCCTGTTTGACTGGTGAGTTCAGCCAATCAATGGCAACACTGTCGTGGTATTGTTTGTTGTTAAATGCCCTTGTGAGCTGACAGACATGGTCAGAGAGTGACTCCAGTGCAGAGAAAATCACCCTTGTGGTCCTGCTTTCTCCACCACTGTCTTGCAGCCTCAACAACCATGATGTCACTTTGGTCTTCATCTCCTGAATAGTCACATGGAGCAAAATGGTACCCAAGGTGGCTATATTCATTTACTAGGGCAACTGTGGCAAAGTACCAGAAAATGGATAGATTAATACACATGGTGTTGTCCTGGTCCTGGAGACATGAGTCAGAAGGGAAGATCTTAGGGCTCCTCCAGAAAGCTATGGGTAGGGCCCCTGGCAGGCCACTTCCAACTGCTGTTAGTTTACTGTCAATCGTTGGCATCTCTCAGTAGAAACATCACACCGGTCTCAGGCTTCAGGCCCATGTGGGGGCTCACTCTTCACTTTGCGTGTTGGTTTCTGACCCCCTTTCTTATAAAGACACTAAGATGTTAGGTCAGTGACCTGGTTTTATACGATTACTCCTGTAAAAAGCCTGCCTCCAAACAAGGTGCTGCTTTAGGAAGTTGATGGGACCTTTAAAGTGACGGTGAGTTGACTGCTAAACAGATTGCAGAGCCCACAGTCGTCTAGGAAGTCTGGAGAAACAATGGGCCCAAGTGACTTTCCGTGTGTGTGTGTGTGTGTGTGTGTGTGTGTGTGTGTGTGTGTGTCTGTCTGCCTGTCTGTCTGTCTGTCTGTGTGTCCCACTCACTGTGCCACAGGGCTTCTTGGTACTCCTGGAGTCTCAGTGGGACAGATGCCAAGAACGTTCCAGAAAATGACTACCTCCCAATTCAGAGGAACAAGAAATGAGAGCAAGAGGCAGGGGAAATAGAAGGGGGGATGGAAAGAGGGAAGAACAAGGAGAGGGGGACACATCTAAGCAGCCTTTCCATAAAGGTAATGGAACTTACGCCCTTAGAGCTTCTATGATTTTTAAAGGCCTCCACTTAATGTGTGTTCTTAAATCCAGGCTCCTTTTGCGAGAGCTGTAAGATCTGCACTCCTCAGAACCTGGTCTTGCCTTGCTCTTGGGAAAGGTTTTGAACTATCCTTGTTGGCTCACGTGGGACATGAATACTTCTGCCTCCCCTCAATGCAGGCAGGCCTCTATATCTCTGGGTTCTTCAGCTGTAAACCCAACCGAACGTGAATCAAAGAATTTGAAAACTACATCTGCAGTGAATGTGGACAAACTCTTGTCCTTCCTCACTAAACAGTGTGACAGCCGTTGGCCCCGCATTTCTATGGTTTTGGGTGTCAAACGTAACCTAGAGATGATAAGCACGCAAGAGGACATGTTTTCTGGGGTGTCTCACTTTGGGTATTGACAAACGGTTTTGTCATCTACAAGTATGCAAGGCCACTTTCATAGCTCTCCTGGGGTGAATTCCCCACGGGGCTGCAGGTTGGACCTGTCTGACACTGTAGGCTTTATATAGCTCCAGTTCCCTCTTGGAATAAAACAGTAGGGTACGTATGGGCGTCTGAGGTACCTGCACCTGTCTTCCTCTCGAGGAAAATATTCACCTGTGTTTGCTTAAGCAAACGTCAGGAATAAACCCCCTTCCCAGTGTGCCCCACCTGTGTACGCACGGCAGCTTCATGTCTTAGACACGCATCTGGTTATAATCCCCCGAGAAACACAGAGTCCAGGCCCAGGACACACACCAGCTAGAGTGAGGGGGTTGTGGGAAGTTGTGGACTTGCTGCCAGGTGGCCATCAGCTTCAGGGATGAGGTGACGCTGGCTGGGGACGCAGAGAGCAGGGTGGCCAACCTGAGTGACAGTTTGGCCCTCTCCTGCAGACGGTAGCAGGAACGCTAACGGAAGACACCCTCCTGAGGGAAACGTACCCTCAGCTGTCTTCCATTCTCTCGGCCTCTTTCTTCCGAACTAGCGCTGCTGCGGGCCAGCTGGCTCCTCACCTGCAGGCAGCTAGCCTGGCGGTGCCGGTGCCGGTTGATACCTGTTGTCGACTGACCAACTTGTCAACTATCTCGTTTCTGAAAAATGTTTTTATGTTTATTGTGCACTTGCCCCAGGGTACACAGTGTCCGCTTGAATTTCCCTTTCTCCTGCATGAGACTCGTTAGTGCCCTGTGAGCAACATAACTGGTGTCATAATCTTCCCTCAGCTCATACCCCAGGGTTCAGAAGGCTCAAGATAACGGTGCTGTCCGCATCAGTGTGCCGACCACTGTGTCTCTCACACGGGCCAGCACTCCTGGGTGCCAAAGCCAACACCATGCTGTCCTTAAGACGACTAGGTTGAGAGATAATTGCAACTGGGCCTGGTATGCACTACCCTGAAATCCCAGTCACTCAACAGGCAGGGGAAGAACACTTTGCAAGTTCAAGACCTGCCTGTGCTAGAGTGAGCTCAAGGCCAGCCTGGGCAAGTTATCGAGAACATGCTGTCTCAAAGTACAGTCAGACAAGATATATAACTGAAGGGCTCTGAGGATTTCAGGTTCAACACCAGAAAAAATGCAAAAGAGGGGCGGGAGGGAGGAGTGTTTGATGGCTGATGTAATAGTTTCGGAAACCCCACCTGAAATCACAGTTAGGAAATCTACGCGGTATGGGGAATGGTCAGCCCCGCTGTGCAGATGAAAGCATACAGCATAAGGAACAATGGCTCACTCAACACTCTACGGCTTCAGACATACATGGCAGGGCATGGAAACCGAACCCTGGCTGAGTAAGGCTGATCTTGGTTTATAAAGGGGGACTCTGCAAGGCCACATGAGTGGCCAGGCCTCTCCCCCAAGGACCTCCAACTGCCAGGTTCCACCCACAGGACACTAACTGCCCTAATAGCTGGACCCTGCCCCCACCCTGCAGAGAGAAAAAGCCCAGGCTATGGATGTGAAATCCCAATCTCCACCCTGAAAAGTTCCACCCGCTTCCCAAGAAACTCTCTATAAGCCCTGTACCCTGTTCAGTTTGCTGCTGCTTCTCACCCGAGCAGACGCAGCTACCGTCGTGTTCTCCCCCTGCCAATAAATCTCTTGTGTGGGGTCTGTTGTGTGGTGTGACTTTGTGTATTCCTTGGTTCCAGCTGCCACGATGTCTTTCCATTCAAGCTACAGTGCTTACAGACCCGCTATAAAGACTGGCAATAAAGGATGCAGGAACATGTGAAGAATGTTCTAGGATGGCATGACTCAAAGAGTGGCATTTCATTTTAGAACCTGCAGAACACATCAGGCCGTTTAGATTCTGGCTTTCACAGAGCAAAAGCTCACGCCAGCTTTCCGCAGCTCAGTGCTCACTGTTCTCCAGCCAGCCTGCCGCTGGCTTGACTTTGGCTATCTGACTGAAGCACACCGATCATTTTCTACATTAAATTCCCTGCTTAAATAGTCCTTCGTAGCCAGGCATGGTGTGCCTGCCTGCAATCTTAGCCCTTGGGAGTAGAGGCAAGGAGGATCGGGAGTTCAAAGCCAGCCTTGGCTACATAACGAGCTTGAGGTCTGCATGGGCTACACCAGAAACAGAAGGCATAGAGGAAGGGGGAGGGGAGAGGGGAGGGACACCTTGTCACCAGGGGAGAGGGGAGGGATACTTTGTCACCAGGGGAGAGGGGAGGGATACTTTGTCACCAGGGGAGAGCAGAGGGACACTTTGTCCCAGGGAGAGGGGAGGGACACTTTGTCGCCAGGGGAGAGGGGAGGGACACTTTGTCACCAGGCCCTCTTTTAACAGCAGACAAACCCATGTCTCTGGTTCATTTAGGTGTGGTTTGAATAGCTTGATCACAGTTAGGGGCTGTTCTTCTCAAAGTGGGGATGCCTGTAGGGACAAAGAGGAGGACAGGAACTCTACAGCTTGTCCAACTCCAGTTTACTGACCTAGACAAACGGATATTCCCAGGCAAATGACCACACATGCCAAGTGTGTGTGTGTACAAGGTGCTGATTTAATTTATCTCCTTTGTTTTTTTGTTTTTTTTAATGGAAGAGTAAAGGAAGATAGTTTGTGTTTGGAAAAGTGTGTGTGTGTATGTGTGTGTGTGTGTGTGTGTGTGTGTGTGTGTGTGTGTGTGTGTGTAGGCCACAGGACAACCTCAGGTGACATTCCTCCTTGCTCTTTTGAGAAAGAGCATCTCATTGGCATGGGACTCACTGAGGAGGCTGGCCTGGCTGGCTCACAAGCCCCTGGGATCCACTTGTCTCTACCTCTCCGCTACTGGGGTTACAGCCATGGGCCACAAGACCCAGCTATTTTTCACATGGGTCCTGGGAAACTGAGCTGAGGTCCCCATGCTTGCGAGACAAACATGTTACCAACTGAGTATTACCTTGCTTCCTGAAGAGAGTTTTGATTTTAGCAGATTACAGGACCTATTTATATGATTATAAGGAACCTCAGACTCCAAGGGTTATCAATTAGAGGGCTGATATTTGAGACATTTCAGCTGTAATAATACATCTTTGATGCCTAGATGTAGGTCCCTTGGATGTACAATTATTCCCCACAAGGCCTTCAGCAAGACAGTTCATGGCTCTGAGCCTGCTTTCCTTCTATAAAGCAAGATGATAATAGCATGTGCCACCTACTTGCCTTTCCTGGGGTGTCTGAGGACAAGTCAACATCTGTACTGGGCTTTGAAACTGAGATATGAAAGGTGTGAATGGACTACAAAGCAGAAGCGTCCTTGGCGACTGGCACTCGCTTCTCAGCCACACGGTAGAAGGAAGGGTAGGCAGGAGAGGAGAGAGGCCAAGGTGTGCGGGCTGTCACCCTGGAGGAAACCAGTGCTGATGACTCCGGGTGTCCTCCCTTTTTGACTGAAGGGCGTGGCGTGGGGGCTGATTAGAATAAAAGCGTGAGCTTCCCCCTTCAGCCTTGGGGGCTGAGGGGCCAGCCCCTGCTCTGATGAGCCCCCTGGCGCACTACTTCTCCTCCTCTCCTTTCCGACTTTGGGGTGAGTGTCTCCAGGCAGAAGCTGGGGAGACGCTATTGTCAGGGTCCAGCTGTCAAATGTAAGCCCCTTAACACTCACCCGTGCTTCTTGCCCCACCTTATATGACGGCCCTTCTTTTAAAAACAACTAAGATTTACGTATACAGTAAGTGTTTGCATGTGGGGTTTCCGAGCAGAATTTGTTTAGTTGTTTCTTTTCTCCTACTCATTTCCCCCTCTCCACACAACCTCCTTCCCACTTTGATGTCCTGTATCCATTTGCCCTGGATCCCTTCTTGAGCATCTCTTCTGACCCTCTCTTGGTCTTTTAGGCTTTGTCCACATTTACTCTCAATTATGTACGCTCACATATGCATGTCAAACTACGATTTGCATATGGCAGAGAACGTGGTTCTTGTCTTTCTTTGAGTCACCTCAATGTTATACTTTCTAGTTCTATCAAGTTTTCCAAAGTTTTCCCGATTTCATTTTCAGTACAGCTGCATGCAGTACCGCAGTGTCTATGTGCTGTATTTTCACTACCCATCCCTCTGTTGATGGACATCAAAGCTGACCCCATTCCTTGCCGGCGTGAATCAAGCAGCAATAAATGTGGTGTGTGCATATCTCTGCGGCAGGGCGTGGACGCCTTTGGGGCTATGCCCAGGAGTAGCATAGCTGGGTCATATTGTAGTTTGATTTCTCATTAGAAACTTCTTACTGATTTCCAGTTTGTATTCCTGTCAT